CTGCCCCACCCCATCCCGTGCCCCCAATAAGCCCCTAATCCAGTTACTGTCCCTATAGCTTCCCCCATCCAGGACTTCATATACTGGAAAACATTAAAAAAAAAAAAGACCAATAAACCAGAGGAAAAAAAACCCAATCGAGAAAAGGGCAAGGAGTATTAAAAACTAGAACAATTTTTAAATGAGTCAAAAGAAAGAGCAAATGATCAGTTATCACATTTTACCCTAATTATATCTGCTACTGTCATGATTATATTTATGATATTCTCTGTTTGATAGCAAGGCTATTCACATCCCTCAAATATGGTCACAGGGAATTTATCAGAGGCTTAATCCATCCATGTAGAAACTCTGCTAATGGATTTTGGGTTCCCACAGTCATCTAAAGCCTCCAGAAAATCAGATGCTCACGATTTAAGCTCTGCTACCATTCCCTCCTTGGGATTTGGATTTGGATCACACAGGCTGGTGTGCTTCTTCGTGTGGACTTAATTGAAGGTACACGTAGATGGCTGCTTGTTTAAAGATGAACCTGTAAAACCCAGACACTATTCTTTCTGGTAGCCAGGTATCCTCTGCTTTCTTCACCGCACTTTGCTGTAGCACCTGTATCCTCAGTGATCAGGAGGGTGAGCGTCAAACAGGCCCATGTTGGCTTGCAGTTATTCATGCAGCACTTAATGACAATCTGTTATGTCTTAGGCATTGTTTTGGGTGCTGAGGATGCCATGATGAAAAAGACCAAGTCCCTGCAGCCTTAGGGAGTTTACATTGTAGTGGGCAACATGGAACATCAAATCAGTAATTAAAAATTAAAAATTTAGGTAGTGATCAATGTAACAAAGAGAAAGATCTTAATTAGTGATGGTACCTCCTTATCATTAAGTATGCCCCCTCATGTCCTTACTATCCTTAGTCTTCATATTTGCTTTGCAAAATCCCAACCTGGTAAGATCAATTCATTTTCTCTCGCTTACTCCTACGTAGGCATGTGTGGCTGGAGAGCAATAATGTGGATGGGTCACTAGAAGTTAGAGTGGACTCAGTGGTAGTGAGTGGGGGCCTAATTTTTACTTCCTGGCCACTAATCTCTTCTGGCTGGCTGGCAGTCCCACGCCATTTCCTAATCTATGCATTTTCCATTCTCCTACATGGCCAATCTACCATTCCTCTCTTCTGAAACCCTCAGCATTCATTTGTCAAACTCTAATTCAAATTCACCATCATCGAGTTGACTCAGACTCACAGCAACCCTATAGGGCAGAGTCAAACTCCCCCTTTGGGTTTCTACAACTTCAAATCTTTACAGAAGTACACAGCCTCGTCTGTCTCCCATAGAGCAGTTGGTGGGTCTAATCTGCTGAACTGGTGGGTAGCAGCTCCAAGTGTAGGCCACTAAGCGCCTGCACTCACTCAGTCAATGATCTCCTCCTGATTACACTGAGAGACTGAAAGGGACTGTAGGACTCCTGGGACATTTAACAAGCCCCCTCCCTTGAATTGGCCCCCATGTCCTCTTCTTCCTTCATTTCTATATAGAAACTGCATCATCCTGTCTGAAAGTAATTCCCCCACCTGGGCTCTACATCAACTGTAGTGCCACCCGGATGGATGAGTGGCCCAGTTGCAGAATCTGCGGTCAATAACAGCATCTACTGGTCAGCTCCTTCAACAGAAGGCACGCCCTTGCCTGCACTTTGACGCTGAGTGAGCGGAGGAACACCTCCCCAGGTAGGTCCCGCTCACAACCTGCCTGACATTTGAGCCTCACGCTAGTTCTCACGAGGGTGGAGAAGGCTTTGTCAGGTGTGCTTCCAAGTTTGGCTCCTTTCTTTGCCCAGTCATGCTTTCTCCCACTCCTTTCCCATCATGACTTCTCCTCTCCCTGCTACACATCCATCCTCAGCGACCTATACACATAGAGTAATGGCGCCCATCTGGAAAACCATTACACCCTTGGTCACATTCTTTAATCCTGTACCCACTACTAAAGAGACAATTTCAGAAGATACCCAGCCTTCATTTCCTTTTGGTTTCTCTTGAAAAAATAAAATCATCAACTAGATCCTTCCTTCACCATCAAACGATCATACGATACAACCCCATCATCTACTCTCCTGGCAGAGTCCCTGGGGGGTGCAGATGGCTAAGTACAGGCTAATAACCAAAAGGTTGGTGGTTCTAATCCACCCAGTAAGTCAGAATAAAGGTCTGACAATCTAGTCTGCTTCCCAAAGATTGGCGCCATGGCATCTGGTTTATCTCATATCACCTTTAACCTAACCTAGTTTTATCACTAGCTGACATTACATACACCCCCGTTTATTGTCTTCCTAATGAGAACGTCAGCTCCAAGGAGGGGCCCAGCTCTGGTGCCTAGTGACTGGTGTGGGATCATGTTCTGAATGAATGAAATAGAGGGCTAAGGCGTTAAGGTTGGGGATGAAGCACCTGAGCAGAGAAACCTAAATGGTGTGAAGACACAAGTCCTTAGAAGATCTGGAAGAGCAGCACTGGCAGAAAAAAGGAAGTGGAAAGTCCGAAGGAGGGAATGAGTTTGGCCAGATGAAGGGAGCCGTGTGGCTGAAAGGGAGGCAACAATGTCGGACAGACCGTCAGCAGCTGCTCTCGCTGAACTCACTGCATTGGCCGACGCACTGCAACCCTGAATTTATAGGACAGGGCTTCTTTGGGTTTCTGAGACCATAACTCTAGGGAGGTGAAAGCCTCCTCTTTCTGCTGCGGAGCAGCTGGTGGTTTCAAACTGCTGACCTATTGGCTAGCAGCCCAACGGTGAACCACTAAGCCAGCATGGAAGTAGTAGCATTATGTAGTAATCCTGCAGTTGGGCTAGAACTCAGAAAGGTCTGGACTAGATCATTATTGGTTATTTCCTCTATTGTAACACACACACTCACAGCCACATGTTGGGGTGCCTCTCCCCCTACATTACAGCTCTGACATCCACTTACACCTCGTGTGATGTGATCATTGAACATAAAATGGTCTTTTCCCTTGAGGTGCACCTCACAATGAGGGGGTACCAATCAACAGATTTCTACATCACCACACAGCACAATCTCTGGGGACCACATGAGATCCTTTACTTAGTGCCCACCACCTCTGTGAAATGCTGCAAAGATCAACTTCACCATCACAATCAACCCCCGTGTAACCATAAGGTAACAGTTAACTTAAGTAGCCATATTATTTTGACCCAAGTGTGGCCACTTTGCAACAATTGTAATTCCTTCTGTAACTGATATTTTCTGTAATTGCTGACTTATTGCCAGTTATTTTTGAAATTACTTATGTTCCTTGTAAACAACCCCACCCCCACCCCCGACCGGTTTCATTTTTATAAGTTCTCATTTGTCCATATAACATGACACCACCTGCCCTTGTACCCTGTTTATTCTACCATATAAAAACCTCTGTCTTGGGAGGTGGGGGTGAAAAGGGGACCCTATCATAAGATTGGATATATAGCCCCCAAGGAGGCAAATAACAGAAATAGTGGGTGAAAGGAGACAACAGACAGTGTAAGACACGAAATAACAGTAATTTATCATTGATCAAGGATTCACAAGTGTGGGAGGGGAGAAAAAGAGCTGATACCAAAGGCTCAAGTAGAAAGCAAATGCTATGGAAATGATGGCAACCTATGTACAACTGAATGAAATTGTTATAAGATTCGTAAGAGCCACCCCCTAAATAAAACGATTAATAAATTAAAAAAAGAACCCTCCTTTAAGCATTTGGGGTTTAGCGTTTAATCGCCCTTTGACCAGCAGCCAATAAAGGCTGGTTAACGTTGCATGTGGGTTCATGGGTCCCGCTCCCGGTCTACAAACAGGGTTTCTGAACTTTGCTCACCCACCCCGACCCCAGCGCCTCGCGGGGCTGCCTCTTTCCGGAAAGACTGGGGGAGACAAGCACCCAGGCCC